TGGCGCACGAATTCCAGGCCGATGCCCCGGTTGGCCCCCGTCAGAAAGTAAGTTGCCATTTTGGGTGGTCTTCTTGAACGGGATCGTACGGGTAGGTGACCTTTGCTGTTGGCCGAATGCGACTTTGAAGTTACGATGATTGTTTGATGTGAGATTGGGGATGAGTTTCTTAGGGGCAGGGACTCTGGAGTGGATTTTCGGGGTATTGGTTGGAGGTGAGGACGAGAGAAGTTTTGCGACTGCGAGGAGTGACTTGATGAGGTACTTCGCCTCCGCGGACGGGACGATGTGGTGGTGTTGTGCCGTGTGTCCTGCATGCGGTCTACTTCCACCGGGTAAATCATAATGGGTGACGTCGTAGTGTATTAAAGCGTAATCGAAAGTAGGTGTCGTTGAGAAGTCGTAAATATTAGTACACAAAGTACTATACATGTTCACCAGTTCAGTTGACTATATGTATACGCACGCACCACATGTTCGCCTGAAAAGCGCCGGTCGAGAGACCCGCAATCCCGTTACGAAGTGTCAGACCTGTCAACTCTGTTACATGGAGTTTCATGCAGTACTCGGCGACAACCAGAACAAGGCTGCGATATTATGCCCTCCGTGGCACGCTCGTCTCATGTTTTCCGATTTCTGTTACTCGTACAAATTGTTGTTCTGAATGGAGCCTGCAGGATAGAGACGGCGGATTGCGCTTGCCGCTTCAGACAAACCCGATGCGAATCAAGGGACACAACCATTTCCTGCATCGTAGCGAAAGTTCCCCTAAAACACAGATCGAGAATGGATTGTGAATTACAAGGTTGCGATTTTGCATAATTACTAATTCCTGCATGAATCTGAGAACTATTATTCTTACCACTGTATGATAAAAGCGAAAGAAAAGCTTCGCCCACACAGAGGTTACGAAGAACTTCTCCACCGCGAGTATCTGGTCCGCATAGCGCGGCCTCGATTTGGTATTCAATCCGCGATTGGTCTTTCGACCATCAGCATGACACATTCGTCTCCTAAAACTTCCTACGATTCGAGTGCTCCTCTTCGAAATGGTATCTACTCCATGTGGTCCACCTTGCGCTTCTCGCTGGCGCCCTTTACTACGCTCGAAAGATCGACAACTGCATCACATTAGTACGAACAAATGGCTAATTGGGGTACGGCGGGCTTACGAGGAAGATCCAAAGGGAAGTCGACACTAGCCAGCATAATGGCTAAGAAGATGTACCAACCGCAGAGGCAGGTAACGAAGCAGAATGCACCAGCAGCCTCAGCAAGCTTGGCAGCAAGAGCTGCTCGACCGTTTGCAGCCTGGAGATAGCTGCCCGCCAGAAGGCCGAAAGCGGGCACAAGAGTGAAGAAGATAAGGAAGAAGATCAAGTTCGTGCGGATGGAACAGATGAGGTAGACTAGGCATAGAATGCCCATCATTATGAGGAAATATGCTGTGAGAATGGTCAGAATCGAATTTCTGCATCTCTTCTTGGGTGACTTACCAAGACCGACGTTGAAGCCAACAGATTCTAGGCCTGTGCTGCCTGCGACGTTCGCATTGGCGTACGCGCCATATGAGTTGTAGAAGGGTTGGAGTGTGGCAGCGAAACCGAGCCAGAAGGCACCGAAAGAACAGAAGACAACGAAGGGGAAGGTATTGCCAAGAATCCACTGTATCAGTTGTCAGAGAGAGTCTTCAAAGGCTTCGAGAGCAACGTACTTCACCAAGACCACCGAGAATCATGAGTAGACCACCTGCAAAGTAGTACCATCCGGTGCTTGCTGCTCCACTTCCACCAGCACCACGCCATCCCATGAGGGTCATGCTCAAAGGATGCAAGGACAACAGGAAGCCGATGAGAGCGCTACCCAAAGTCAGCGTTCGAAGTTTCAGGTGTATATGCAGGGGGAACATACAGAGGCGTCGGGTTACCGAATGTCTTCCGCAGATCTCCTTTTACTTTGTTCGGTGGTGACAGATATAGTTTCTCAAATAGCTCTGGAGAGATCGAGATACTACCCGCTGTTCGGATCTGATGCAATGCAGTACCAGAATCGACCGAGGCGTCGAGGTGCGTTTGTCCGCCATATCCATTGCCGTAAGCTAGAGAGTGTTAGTTAAAGATGAACGTGTGTACCACAAGAGAGCCTTACGTTCTTGCCGAGAGAAGTCTTTCTCCAAAGCGTTGGGCCCGTCCATCATTCTAGTTGTCGACTCGTTTCTCGCAGTTGATCCAGCTGATAGAGTTTCTGCGTCTCTAGCTGTAGTCGCGCCGAGGTGGGCGTCGTTCGTTGCGTACTTGTGATCGTGATTGGAAGTCATACACGCGACGTGGTTGTCAAAGAGACCGCTTCCGTTGGAGTTGTTATTAGAATTAGAGGTATCGTAGTGACGATGACCGGTCGAGGACGTGGTAGTAGATGTTGAAGTCTCGTAACGTGACATAGAAGGCTAGGGAACCGGAGAGTAGGGTTGATATAGGATTGATGTAGGGAGCACACAATGGTCATTAAGAGTGTAGGTAACAATAGTGCTCCGCAAACCTTGAGGCACGGATTTCAATTCCAAGAAAGCGTAGCTGCGGACGAAAGCAAGGGATCATCACCGACTATGTGGCAGGTGCAGCCAGGCCACCCTGGTAGAACAAGAGTTTGAGGGCCAACCGCTGCGGTTCCGCGTTGTATTTGATGCACGTAGTCGAATTGGCGGGAGGGCAGATCTGCCCAGGCTAGAGCTTGGGGAGCGTCCAAGTCTTGATTCGCCGGAGTCATGAGGAGTGCCTCCTTAGCTGCGGACGTGGCTTCCCTGCCGATGCATCCCCTAGGAACAGCAGTGGCGTCTCGTGCAGTTACTTTGTACGCCCTGGACACTCCACCACCGATACCGTCTGAGCATCTCATGAGGCTAATGACGAACCTGTGGATGAACAGGTGGAGGAGGTCAGATTCATGTCAATGACGCTACGAGAAACATCATGTTTGTTTGTGAAACTCTTCACATACTCTTAGTTTCGCCGCATTGACAAGACCTCGCCGACCCCAATACCCAAAACGGTCGCAATGGCAATGGTACACATTCAAAGTCACAACGTGATCATGACCCGATGCAGCAACAACCAGTAAGGGATCAGCAACCCCAGGACGTAAGATCGGTTCTGCGGAGTCGAGTGGAGATGAAGCACGCGAATGCTGGGGACGCGTGCGGAGCCTAGACTTTGGAGCTAAATGATCGTCGGGCCGTCACTAATGGGGTTGGCTTTGCGGGGAAAACGTGCTAAGAACGCTAGATCCGGATGAGTGGTGCAGGCGTTATTTCCAAACGTCATGTCGCGCACGGCATCTCAAAGATATGCATGAGATTTCATTTTGCGATCTCATGGATGGTAATCGAGATAATACAAGGTTGCGGCAAGGTTGCACCAACGTCACTGGAGTATGCTGGGGTGTAATATTGCAATCGTGGAGGTTGCAGATTTATACAACGGGGACAATCTGACCGACTAACTCGAGTCAGTGCAGAATGTAGATAGTCCGGCCTTGTGCGGCAAAGCTGTCGTGTGTTGGTCGTATGTTCAACTTATGATCGATGAGCCACTCCCGTAGCGCCGAAATGCAAGGAAAGGCCCATAGACCTCAGCCCCCGCGTTTCAATACCGAGGTGCGCATAATGGCATAAGAATCTAGTGTGACTCGCGTCCAGGTGTAGGGTATTTGGCGAGTAGCTTGCGCTCATCCGACAACGTATCGGGAAGAGTCCAATGGTAGCGACGGAGACATTCCGCATATGATGATGTCTAACCCAATTCAGTTGACCATGGTAAAGCCTCGGGAATTAGGTACCATCCGCAAAAGCCGGGTTCCTGATGGAAGCGAGTAGGAGTTGACATCTGATACAAGATATTCTGCTCGTAATGTTGGGTGCTGCTGGCTCCATTCAGATTCGTAAAGAAAGTCCGGTTGACCCGAAATCGCACAGTCTTTTCCACATATCGTTCCGATTAACGCACTGTTGCGACTTCGTAGGCAGCAATAGGCAAGTTTGCCAGCTGTCCAAAACGCAGACCGCATCTTCCGTGGTCCCGAACCGTCAACATCCCAGTAGGACCGCAACCCAGCATACTAGCGGCGTATGCCGCACCCCTCTCTAGCATTCGGGCTTTGTGGAAGATGGCATCGCAGGAAGTAACTTCCACTCTGATGAAGAATTGTGTCCACTAAACTCACATCTTCTTGCAATTGCTCCACAAAACATTCTCCTGCTGCGTACAAACTATCAGAAATCGACGAATGTAACACGACGCTCCAATCAAAAGCCATGTCACGTTGGTCTAGGAGGTAAAGAGACACAATTTTTCAATAGCGTGGTGCATAAGGAGTTGAGGATTTCATGCCGGCAGTGCTCGGAGGTTTTCGGTGCTTTCCAGTGTCGAGATGCCGAAAGCTGATGGACCAGCGACAGGCGATCCGGATCGTCGGTGTTTCCGGATGTTTGATCGCTCAAAACTCTCTCTTCTGTCTTTGGCATCTCCTGATCTTCGTGAATACCATAGCTCAGCATGGGCATAGAAATCGCCGCCACTGCCTAGTGCTGGATACTGAGTTTGAGATAGTTCATCAGGATCAAGGGAGGTACAGATGGTAGCGTTGAGTGGAGTATGTACAACGATGATCAGATGAAGTTTGTGATGGCGGAGGGCATGCGTTCCACACCAGTCAAGCACGATGCAACCTCGACTAGAGAGCTGACGATTGGAGAAGTATTGAACGTGCTCTCACAGTAGATGGGAAGGAGTACTTTGGTAGCAAATACCAATGATAGTACCTGCGGACGTCGTGCTCTTCATATAGCATGTACACATGACAAAGCCAGTGGTGATGCCGAGGAGATAAGTAATCTCTTCCGGCCGTAACCTTCAGTCTGTCACCCCGTCCCGAATGTGATTCTTCTCCATGCACAGAAAGAAGCTGAGAGCTTCAGCACGGTATGTGATGATGCTCCGAGGCCCTCAAGCCCCGCCCACCTCTTCAATGACCTTCTTCAAATTCTTGATATCATGCGCAAACCGACCCAAGAACAAGCCGTCGACGCCTTCGGAAATCTTGGCAAAGGTGCCGGGCCCAGCGCTCCCTCCGTAGACAATCCTCGTGGTCCCGGTCCTACCAGCAGCCATCTTCCTAAGCTCTTTTGTCACATTCACAACATGGTCGGGGTCAGCGGGCTCCTTTGCGCCAATGGCCCACACAGGCTCGTAAGCCAGTATCACCTCGGTGTCGTCCGGTACTGCAGCCAGCACTGACATGACCTGAGGTTTACATTCTTGTATAGCTGCACCCACAGCTGCCGATGCGACGCTGTGATGTGTCTTCTCGCCAATGCACACCAGTGGTATCAAGCCGTTTCTTGCTGCTGCACCAGCCTTGTTCGCGACCGTCTCGTCTGTCTCGCCGAATGCGGCTCTGCGCTCAGCATGGCCAATCTCTACTATCCTTGCTCCTGCCTGGCGCAGCACCAGTGGGCTGACCTCGCCTGTGTATGCGCCCTTGTCTTCCCAAAAGGTATCTTGCGCGCCCAGGATGATGGACGAGGGCTCGAGGATGCGGGCAGACTCGGTGAGGGAGACGAAGTCGGGAATAACGAAGAGATCTATGCGCGCGTTCCAGGCGTCGCCGTCGAGTTGCAAGACGCCGCGAATGTAGGAGAGCGTGCTGGGCAGGTCGAAGTACATCTTCAGCGAGACGCCGACGAGGCGGCGGGGTCGAGCGATGGGCGGCATAGCAGCGGCAGCGGCGGTTCGTGTATGTGTGTACAGAGAGAGTGGAAGCTAGCCAGCAGCCACTCTACAAGTACTATGTACCAGAAATGAGATGTCTTGGAGCTGCGCAACTACGATGATCCGGGGTTACCGTAAAGGGTAAACCCGGGGATGGGAAAGCAAACCCGTCATCGGTGGAGGGGACAGGTGTGGGACGGACACGTTTGTGGGGCTTTCATGCCACATCCCATCACCACATGCAATGCCACATTATATTATGCACGATTCGCGACTTGCGACTTGCTGCAGTGCTTTCACCGTCTTCTGTGAATGATGCGCGTCTACCGCATGTCACGCATAGCCACGCGTTCTCCAATTGGTGTCACCTGCAGCGTAGTCATGGCTCGTCGCCGAAAATGCGCCTTGCTTGGCGAGGCTCCGATTGTTCCTCCGTACTGCGCTAACCTCTTTACTGTCGACCTTCCGCTAAGGAAAACTGCACATCAACGCATCACTAACCCTCCCGCTCACTGACTGACAGCAAGAGAGAACAGTGGTACATGTCGCGGACACTCGCAGATCGCTGGGCTCGCAAAAGATACTTTGGATAGCTCGTGGGGGGTCAACACCGCAGTACGCAGCATCCTTGCATATCCCGCCCTGAGCTCACCGCGGGGTGCATATTCCTCATATTGTCCTCTCACTAACGGTGCGAAGAATTGACGCAGATTCTCTTTCCTCTCTTCTCTTCCTTTACTTAGTCTTATACTTCTCCGCCATGCACATCTCTCAGAAACTCCTCCAGGCGAGAGAGGAGGGCAAGCCGACCTTCTCCTTCGAATTCTTTCCGCCCAAGACAGCGCAGGTAACGATACCCTCATAACCCCCAACACGAGGAGCGAGACGCTGACTTCATCTAGGGAGTTCAAAACCTCTACGACCGCATGGACCGCATGCATGGCTTCGGTCCGCAATTCATCGATCTTACCTGGGGCGCTGGTGGCCGCCACTCCAAGTTGACCTGCGAGATGGTCAAGGTCGCACAATCCGTCTACGGCCTCGAGACCTGCATGCATCTTACATGTACCGATATGGAAAAGTCCAAGCTCGACGACGCCCTCCGAGACGCATACAATGCCGGCTGCACCAACATCCTCGCCTTGAGGGGAGACCCGCCACGTGAGCGAGAGAAGTGGGAGGCAACAGCAGGTGGCTTCCGCTATGCGAAAGATCTCGTCGTCTACATCAAGGAGAAGTACGGAAACCATTTCGACATCGGTGTGGCGGGGTACTCCGAAGGCAGCGACGACAATGACGATGTCGACGAGCTCATCGACCATCTCAAGGAGAAGGTTGATGCCGGAGGAACATTCATTGTTACACAAATGTTCTATGATACTGATCTTTTCCTTGAGTGGGTCAAGAAGGTTCGTGCCAAGGGCATCGACGTTCCCATCATTCCCGGCATCATGCCCATCCACACCCATGCCGCGTTCCTACGGAGGGCCCAATGGACGAGATGCAACATCCCGAAGGACTGGACTGAGGCCCTGGAGCCTGTCAAGAACGATGACGTCGAAGTGCGTGAAGTCGGCAAACATCTAGTCGCCGAAATGTGTCGGAAGCTGATTGACGCTGGTATCACACACCTGCACTTGTAAGTCGTCCCCTCGTCACGAGAAGATGATCTTTCTCATACCTATATAGCTACACTATGAATCTCGCGCAAGCCACCCGCATGGTCCTTGAAGAGCTAGACCTCCTACCCGACCCCGAGTCACCACTAGAGAAGCCTCTTCCATGGCGGCCTTCGCTGGCGCTCAACCGACGAGACGAGAACGTACGACCAATCTTTTGGCGCAACCGCAACCGATCCTACATTGCCCGCACACAAGACTGGGACGAGTTCCCCAACGGTCGCTGGGGAGATTCGCGTTCACCCGCCTTTGGCGAGTTGGATTCTTATGGCATCGGTCTGAAGGGTACCAACGAGCAGAACATCAAGTTATGGGGCACACCAATGTCGATCAGAGATCTATCCGAACTCTTCGTACGCTATATGGAAGGAAAGCTCGAATCTTTGCCGTGGAGCGAACAGCCTATTACGACCGAAGCTGGGTCTATTCAGGACGATCTGATCAATCTGAACCGCCGTGGATTCCTGACCATCAATTCCCAACCTGCTGTCAATGGAGCCAAGTCTTCAGACCCGGTATTTGGTTGGGGCCCGCGTAATGGTTATGTCTACCAAAAGGCTTACCTGGAGGTCTTCGTCTCTCCGGAACACATCTCTGAGATCATCACGCGTCTCGAACGCGATCCTGAATTCACCTACTATGCTGTGAATAAGGATGGCGATTTGAAGACAAATGCTCCCAACGAAGGACCGAACGCTGTTACATGGGGTGTCTTCCCAGGCAAGGAGATCGTACAGCCAACCATTGTTGAAACAGTGAGCTTCCTCGCCTGGAAGGACGAGTTCTACCGCCTTGGACAGCAATGGGCAAACTGCCATGCAGGTGTCAGTCCATCGCGTTACGTGATCCAGGACGTCGTAGACACCTGGTACCTACTGAATATCGGCAAGTACATTCGATTACACTTACATTTCTCTTACTAATGCTTTGTTTGCAGTACACAACGACTTCCACGCAACCCGTGGCATCTTCCCCATCTTCGACGGTTTAGAAGTCAAGGACATGGATAAGCCGCTGGTCAACCCCAGCGTTGATCTTCCTAGCGCAAACGGAGAAGAAACGACAAAGGTAGTCAACGGCGGTAGCCACACCAACGGCACGAACGGCGAGCAAGCTGAACCCCATAAGGAGGAAAATCCAAGCCTAATTGATGCTGCCAAAGCAGCCGCTGTCGAGGTCACCAACGGCATGAGAAGCCTGGCAATGTCCAACTAGGCTTCCGTAACTCCAGGTCTTACTGCATTCAACACGCCAAGACCAATTTGAGATGAGTCTTCTTCTAAGAAATCTCCGCTCCTAGTCTGGTGTTCAACATGTTACGCCACAGAGCTCCTGCTTTCAGCAGACCTCTTTCATTTCAACAAGCGCGAATCTCTAGTTCTTTGTTCTTTGGCGTATATCGGTTATGGTTGGCATTGAAAGGAAAAGGTTACAATTTGCACTGCAATCATGCACAAGCATCTGGGAGGCGTCTATTCAACCCGACGACCGTCACGAAAGATATGGTGCGGGAACCTAAAAAGTTCAATAGCATAGTGTAGGATATGGCTTTCTAAGATACCCGGTCACTACCCTCAACGGTGGTGATCAATTTTTTTCACTACGATCTTTATCTATAACTTTGAGTAGATGTCTTCGAAATAGAATAGGGCGTACTATCTTCGAGTCTTGAGAGCTTCACTGCATGTGCAAAGGTTTTGAGACAAGCATATGGCGTACATTGTTGTTTCTCTATGTTTTGGGATCAAGTGTGAGTGTATAAAGTATGTGGAAAGAATTGAAATGTCGCGCCATCAAGACGTCTTAGTCGTACACACTGTTCCATCCTTTCTTCACCACGTTCCCTTTTCTCGGGTAGACGTGATGGAAGCAATGACTCTAAGAGCTCATCTCACTCTTGCCGCCGCCGAACAGGCTACTGAGCCAATCGAAGAAGCCTCCTGGGGCGTCATCGCCAGGTCCTTGCTCGCCGTTCTCTGAACCAGGCAGCTCAGGCATACCCGTGGGCTGGGGACCGCGAGTCAAAGTCTGCATTGTAGTGGGCAGACCAGGCATGCCGGTACCAGGGAAGGGGAACGGAGAGCCACCGGTGGGCATGGGGAAAGGAAGGTTGGTTGGGAAAGGAAGGTCTGATGGAGAAGGACCATCACCAGGTGGCTTAGGAAAGCCACCGGTTGGGAAAGGCATATCAGGTCCACCAGGGGGCTTGGGAAAGCCGCCAGTAGGGGAAGGCATGTCGGGTCCACCCGTTGGGAATGGGAATGGAGCGTCAGGCTGGCCTGTGGGGAGTCCTGTGGGAAGGCCAGGGAAGGCTCCCTCCGTTTCTGTAGGCAGAGCGGGAGTACCGTCTGTGGGCTCCGCCAACGAGAAGCTGGGTAGCGCGCTGCCGGCTCCGGGGCCCTGTCTTGGGGCGAGCTGGTAGTCGATAGCCAAGTTGCGGACGCGGTGGCGGACAGGTGGCATACCGTCGATGGGAAATGCTCCTGTTGCTGTAGGGAAAGGAATGCCAGATGCTGTGCCGGTTCCGATTGGGGCGAAACCGGGCATCAGCTCTGGAGGAGGAGCATGACGGGACTCCTTGGTGCCGAAGATGGCGTCGAGGTAGTCGCTGAATGGGTAAGCCGCTGTGGTGCTCGCAAGAGCGGCGAGGATGACGGCGTTTTTCATCTTGATAGTGATGTCTTTGATACGAGATGTAGAAGAAGTGTTTGAGACGGATCGAGACAGGCGATGTTGATAGCAAAGATGGTGGCACAGCCAAAAGAATGTATGTATACCGCTAGGATATCTAGAGAATGACGACAAGAGCGAAGAAAGGCCTGCCCAAAGAGAGTGTATGAGACAACTGTCTGTGAAGAACTGGTTGATGGCCATCCAACATGAGGCCAAATCCAGGGTATATATCCTCGTCCGGAGATTTCCAGTCGTGATCAACAACTCGTTCATCTAAAACCTGGTTCCCGCAAGCCCCAGAAAGCCCAGTCGTTTGACATTGCTGGAGAAGAACGCACGTGCGACCTGCTAGTTACAGATAAGATCGATCAAGCCTTTGCGAAGACGCGCCGAAGGGTTAGAGTAATCTCTGCGGGTTAGCGACAGGTCCCATCTGGCAAGCATGATTCGGAGAGTATAGTACGGGATTCATGCCGATCACTTCTGTAGTTTCGTTTGCGGTCCAATAGAATTATTGTGCGAGCCATAGGCGCGTTGTGAACAGATGAATAGCATTGGCCAAGCCGGTAATCAGCATAAAAGCAAGGCTGCGATGGCCATGGATAGATTGCATAGAGAGACCAACATGTTTCGAGAGAAAGGTCGAGATGCTGATGCCAGGCACGGAAGGGTCGATCGCGTATAATGGTACTTGTGGGTCCGTTTCATGCGTACGCGTAACTCGCCGCCAAGAACCAAATATCACCAGCTGATTGGTGCAAACACCTCCCGACCATGTATGCTCTGTAACAGTCACATCGTTTACTTGAGCATCGGGAGACCTGCCTGGTGTTTGGCATGTGGTAAAGGCGTGATGTGTGACGTATGCTCAGCGGAACGCAAAGATTGGCATCCAAAGTACGTCAGGCATCCTCAGGCATCCAGAGTCTCAGTTCATATCCACCCGATCCTCCTTGCAGCATAACCCCAGCCACTCAGTAGTGCAGTCACGCCTGTGAATGCAATCAGTGCTCCATATCCGCTACCATACGCAAAACCTGCACTCCAATCACCAGCATGTAGCAGAGCTTCTGAAAGCGGGCCGCTGCACAAGTTGCCGACGCCTTTCCCAGCTGATAGACACGCCCATACGAAGCCAGAATCTGCGCCTCTGCGCTTCTTCTGAGTGTCTGCGACGATAGCGCTCCAGGCGCTCGATTGACACCCAGCAAAAGCACCATAGACTATGCAGAAGATGTATAGCGGCGCCAGTGAGGTGGAAAATCCCCATAGGAGAAAGATGCCGACTGTTGAGCCCAAGGCAGAGACCATGAGGCAGGTTGTGACATGGTACTTGTCGGTCGCAATTCCCATGCAAAGACACCCGACAAATGCAGCAGCATTGACAAGAATGATTGTGACAGTGCTTTCGATGCTACCTGCACCAATGGACCGGGCGAAAGTGGGTAGATAGATTGCTGGTAGAAAGAATCCAAGGCTCTGGATGATATTGCCGGACTGTAGAATCAGGTAGTTGGAACAGGTCCAGAACGACAGGTCGAAACCCCTATTTTGCGATGTTTGAGACAACGGAAGGCGAGGTTTAAAGAAGAAGACTATGGGGAAGTTGAGAGCCACGAAGCTGAGTGCGCATACTCGTAAAGTCGTCCGGAATCCGTAGGAGTGTAGCAGCCACTCAAGTATGAGAGGAAGAATGGCCCCGCTCAATCCCAGGCCGGCCATAGTAGCTCCATAGGCAAATCCTCTTCTGCGTACCCACCACTCTTCGATGTTGAAGAGAATTGGCGTCCATGCGAGACCACCGCCCAGTGCATATAAGATACCTTGAGTGATGATGAGGTGTGTTATGCTCGTTGAAAGTGATCCAAGGCCCAAGGCAAGGCAGACGACTACTAAACCAACTGGTGTGGCCCAAATGCGAAACTTGGGAAAGTACTTCAGTACAACGAACCATATCGCAATATCCATGTACATGATACCCTGGATAGGTCTTAGTCTTGGTCTTTGAATAAACTACTAGGACATACCATTGCACAAGTACCCACAACGGCAACGTTGCTTTGGCCAGAGAACTCCTCACTAGTAGCATAGTATTCTTGGAAGACACCGTAAGAGGAGGGAAAGCCCCAAATCATGGCCTCCAGCTGCAGAGGTGGAGTTGCGAAGTCAGTGTATGTCTGACATGCATTTCTTGCACAGGAGACTTACCATGAAGCAGGAAAACAAGCAGAGCCATGCATCCCTGCCACCATCAGTAGGCGGAAGTGAGAATCCATTGTCGCTAGTTGGTTGGGATTGGTCGTTCTCTTGTAATAGTTCAATGTCTGTGGTTGCAGCCGAAGAGGGTTGTTGTGGGTAAGTGGTCAAGTCGACCTGAGTACTCTGAGTTGAAGCCATTGAGTGTCTTTATTCGAGACCCAAGGCTGTACCAGCAGACTCATACTTATGTGTATCCTTTGTAGCACGGTGGAGTCGGTAGTAGCGATGTTAGCTTGTTTTTCAATTGTACATGTAGGGCGCATTAGATGTACGGTTCAGTGGGGCTCGGGAGCCCTAAGCTCTGAAGCCGTCGGAAAAGCGCAAGAGTCATGGATGGTAGCGGCACTGGAGCACACATGGCAACATTGACGATGGCACTGTCGTCATCTGACATGTCTTCACAGGCAGTGTTGAAGGATAATCCGATGTGATGTTTGATGGTGTTCTTGTTATGGAGAAGCTAGGCTGGACGGCTCTTGGCATGATACAGGGGCGCTCCAGGAGCGGAATTCTAGCGCGACGCGACTTGGGGATTGACGCGCCTTGACCAGGGCATTCGCGACCTCGAGACATTTCCTCATACCACAACCATGATGCATTCTCAATAACAGACACCAACCAATTATTAACCTGTAATCCAAAACCACCCCCAAGTGCCGACATGGATGACTCGCCGCGATCTTCTAAGCGGAGAAAGCTCGATACCTCGGAGCGCACCGAACCGAGCCCATCAACAAAGCCGTCGACACGGAAAGCCTCTGGCAGGCTTGCGACCAAATCCGTCGCAAATACGAACGGCGACGCTGCACAGGATGAATTCAAGAAGCCAGCATCAGTACGCAAGGGTCGATTGACCAAGGGCGCAACAAACGGCACACCGGCGAAGCGTGCAGCAGCGGCAGAAGAGATTGATGTCTATGATGATATCGAAGGCGCATTGAACGTTGCAGCATCCTCGCGACCAGTCCGAGCCCACAAACCGACAGAGAAAGCATCCAAAGAGAACACACCAATTGCTGCGCAGAACAAGGAGGAGATACAAACAGCCATCCCGCCCAAGCGAGGAAGGGGGCGACCTACGAAAGCGGAAGTCGCAAGTCGGAACGCTTTGAAAGAGGCAAACGATGCAAAGGGCGAATCGAAAGATGCTGTCACGCCTGCGAAGGCTGCCCGAAAGCCAGCTGCGTCTGCGCGCAAACCAGCAGCTCCACGAGCAAGTGCTCGGAAGAAGAAAGAGCCTAGCCCTATCGCAGAAGAGGATGAAGAAGCAGATGAGCTGCAGAACAACACCAAGGCCACTAAGACCTCGAGGCCACGCTCGATACGGAAGCCAGCGACCGGTACAAGGAAAAAGGCTACAGCGCTGGAATCAGAGTCGGAAGAGGCAATTGCAGCGACGCCCTCCAAGTCGGTCAAGCGACGAAAGCCTGTAGGAGAGCAAGCAGTCATACCGGAGAGCGCCGACGAACTCGGCGACGGCTCTCCCACAACCAATAGGAAGCTGACTGCTAGTGAACGAAGACGCTTTAACCGCACTGATCATATCGCCAACAATGACGAAGAGCGCTGGTCGAATGCGGAAGATCAGGCCAACGGACACGACGAGGACGAAATGGATATAGACGGGAACAGCCTCCTGGATAGTGTGCTCGACCCCACAGAACCGAGTCCTTTCAATAAGCCTACTTCAGCTCAGAAAGAGAAGCTCACGCCCTCTGTCATCTACAGTAACCTGGCGCTTGGTCGTGAGCTTGATCTACTAAAGACAATTGTCATGGACCGTATTACTGGCAAACGTCCTTCACCTCTGGTTGGTTTAGACGATGAGTACAAGTCTGTGTACCAACTTGTCGAACAGACCATCGCCGCTGGTGAAGGCAACTCAATGCTTGTCATTGGAGCTCGGGGCAGCGGAAAGACGGCGCTCGTAAACAAAGTCCTCTCTGAAGTCTCCAAAGATAATGGTGGCCAATACCATGTCGTACGACTCAACGGCTTCGTTCATACAGACGACAAGATCGCACTGCGAGAGATTTGGCGTCAGCTGGGCAAGGAGATGGACATCGAAGAGGATGGGAGCGGGCCAGGAAAAAACTACGCGGACACATTAGCGACGCTGCTCGCTCTACTTTCTCACCCATCGGAACAGACTGGCGAAGTGACTGACGAGGTCGCCAAAGCTGTCGTCTTCGTAATGGACGAGTTCGATCTGTTCGCTCAACATCCCCGCCAGACATTGCTTTACAATCTCTTCGACATCGCACAATCACGAAAAGCGCCCATTGCGGTACTAGGACTAACGACACGTATCGACGTGACCAACAGTCTCGAGAAGCGAGTCAAGAGTCGCTTCAGCCATCGCTATGTGCATCTCAGGCTAGCAACGACTTTTACTGCGTTCCAGGAAACATGTAAAGCCTGTTTGTCAATACAGCCGGAGCAACTGAGCGTCGAAGAGAGAGGTATATTAGAGGGCGGTACCAAGAGTACACCGGCAAAGAAGGGAAAGAAGAACGACACAACAGAAGATGCGCTATCACAGTGGAACGCCAACATATCCGTAAGTTCCTCAACAGTTCACTACTGCGACGTCATGACCAGGCTGATGATCTACTAGGAACTCTTCTCATCGCGCTCTTTCCTTACCCAGCATCTTGCGCCGTCCTTCTACCTCACGAAGTCCGTCCCACAAATCCTAACCTCCTTTCTCCTTCCCACCGCGACACTCTCACCCA